CTTTCGCACGATGACAAACCTGTGCCCTTACAGCGGAGGCTGCCCTAGCCCCCTGCGCTCGAAGTATTGGACGTTGCGGCTGGGGTAGGGAGGCGGGCTGCGCCTGTCTGTTGGGGAGGCATGGAGATTTTCTGGATTTAGTGTGTATATGGGAATGACGGCGTTTATTTTATTTTATTTTGCTACGGGGAAACGAGCGACGTGTGGCAAGGCTAGGGTATGCCGCAGTCCTCTTGATGGCAGGCAGGCTTTGTATGATGGGATGTACACGCAGGCATATAGTACAACGGGAGTCTCAGGGAGACTGCCTCGTGGGAAACCCCACCAAGGATTGCGAACACGAAACATATCCGAGTTGGCTAGCACCACTCGCCTCCAGACTCAGGATTTAAGTGTCCCCGTTGACGTCAAGTTCGATCATTATTCATCGAGAGCATCGCTTAGCTCTTCCAGAGCATGGCAACATGATCCTCTTCATTGGGACCGGGATACAAGGCCAGGATACAGCCAAGTCGCGATGCAAAATGCCAACATGAAAGATCGTGAGCCCGCCCAGCCATGCGTAACGCCGTCCAAATCCCTGCCCTCAAACACTGCCAAACGCCAAACCATGAAACCGTCCGCAACCTCAAGCGTGGCGGTTCGCCGCATCCGCAAAGGCCTCCTGCTGCATCCTCTCGAGCTCCTCCATGGAGATGGCGCTGTTGGCGAACTTGTTCGCCTTCTTCTCTCGTCCCTGGGCACGCAACGTCAGCTCTCTGCTCTCTCCTGGGCTTCAGAAGGCCGCTCCCCCAAAAAGAAATAGCATACCTTTTGCACCTCCTTGTGCTCTGCGGCGGCCTCCAGAACAGCAGGCACATAGTCTGCAAAACCGAGTTGCTCGAGCGCCTTGGTGATGTGGTCACAGGCGATCGTCTTCTTGGCCTCCTTTTCGGAAATCTCGTTGGCCTCGGAGGAGATGAGAGTGATGAACTCGACGCAGCACTCTATGAGCAGGTCGCGCGCATCCTTGGCAAAGGCGATGCCGTCCGCCGGGGGCAAGATCTCGGTGACGATCTTCTGGACGGTGGCCTTGGGCAAGGAGAGATCGTCGTTGCCTGCGATCCCTGGTCAGTCTGGTGTTGGCAAGAGATGGCCCGGTGTGAGGATGGCGTGGTTGGCCCGTGGCCAGAATAAGAGAGGAGCGTAGTGTGAAGAGCCATGCACCAAGTGTGAGCTGAGTGACAGAAAGGGAGTGGCACTGTCACAGCCAACCGTATTGCAGACACACAGGTAGGTGCCTGGTCTCACTATGAGTGTATCCAGACAGGGAGAAGCAGCGATAGCCAAAACGCAAACAAACACCTGAGCTGCTTAGAATAAATAACTAGAGAGCATACCTCCGAACTCGTGGTCTGACATGGTGGGGGTGTTGTGTGGTCGTCGCGGGTGGTGGCTGAGATGAGACGCGATGAGGCTGGCGATGAGGGGCAGGTCTTTATCGACGGCGTGCAGGTCTTCGATAAAGAGATGAGAAGACCGCCTCGTTCCCGGGGCTTCGATAGATGTCTTTGGAGATACGCGTGGCGCTGAGAGTCAAGCCGTTGATGCAGGGAGCGCTTGAGGTGTTGGTCGTCGTAAAAGTGCTGGAAGTTGGCTGTCGAGGCACAGGGTGAAAGTGAAGTGAGCAAAGGGCTCCGAGAGGACGGGCGTAGCGCAGCTTATTAGTGGAGTGGGGGTTGAGCAGTTGCCAGCAGAACGCAGTTGCCAGCAAAAAGCCGCCATGCGAAATGCGCCCGGCCCCGAGCCCACATCAGTCGGCGCACGGGCCATGGCCGCCGTGGACTTAAAAGTTCTTGAGCTTGAATTTTCTTCAACAGCTTTCCTTCCCGACAACATCCAGCAACCAACAGCTTTCATGCTCCGAGTTGCGACATGGCCAGTTCCGCAGCGCGTCGCCCTTGTTCGGCTGCGGTAGCTTCAATGGTACGCTTCTACTCTCCCTCTTCCGTCCACACGACGTTCCCTCCCCACACACTCGACTATGATGAACACGCTGTCGCCCCAAACTAACGAGGTTTTCCTCGATGGTGAATGACTGTCCAAGCCAAACGGACTTCGCTGAACCGTCAAGCAATCATGCAATTTCTTCTGCCACGACGTGGAAGAATTTCGTGCTGACCATCTCGTCCACAGGAAACTTTCCGCAGTCTACCGACATGTCTTGCATTGGCCACAGGCTAGCTAGCGTGTGCTTTGGGACACCAGACTTCCTCGACGCAGCCACGCCGATGCCGACAACACATGGGTCACTTCTTTGGCCCCGAAGCGCATCACCTCGAGCGGCAGAGTTGGCCATGTGTCAACGCGTCACCGAAATGCGCGCGTGTTCAGCACCGGTGCTGCCTGCGTCAGGGGAACAAGCTACAGGTAGGCGCAAGAAATTTCTTTTCTTTCGGTTCTCTGCTGTTGCGGGAACAAGAATTTTGCGTGATGATAAAACATATTCCATGCTAATCCTGAATCAACTATGTGGATTAACGTATGAACTTTTCATCTTTCGACTGACTGCAAATTTTGTCTTGTCTATGTTTTCTGCCGTATCGTGTGGAACCCAGCGCTGACAATGCAATCATAGATGAACCACTATGTCTGAGGTCTACTTGTCTTGGTATGCTGCAAGCTCACTCGCCTGCCACTTCAGCACCTTGCCTGTGAGGCTGTGATCTGGGTCGATCACGAACCGCGCCATGACATGGCCGGGTTGCTCTGGCTTCACGAGCTCGCCGTTGTCATAGGCTGAGGAGAAGGCCGAGTGGTCTTTGGCGTTCATCGCATCCTTGCCTCCCTCCCGGATGAGTTTCTGCATGTCCGTGTCGACCCGGCCAGGGGTGACAGCAACGGTGGTGATGTCGGGCTCTTCCACTGCCAGGTGCGCAGAAATGTGGTCCATGGCGGCCTTGGACGAGCCGTATGCGCCCCAAGCCGTGTAGGCTTTGGTGGCAGCGCCGGAGGAAACCCACAGGACACTGCCCTTGGATTTCCTCAGCTCCGGCAGCGCAGCTTGCACCTGAGCATAGTCAGCACCTAGAATGCAAAGAATTTGAAAATCATCCCTCACAATTGCCAATCCGCTGAACACGTTGATGTCGTAGCTCTTTCTCCACTCCTCGATGGAGCCATTCTCCAGCCGGCTGAGGGGCGTCAAGACGCCGTGGTTGATGACGATGCCGTCGATCCTGCCAAACGTCTTGATCGCGTGGTGCGCAACCTGCGGTACAGACTGTCGAGTTGTGAGCTTTAGGCGTTCGAACGAGAGCCCCCCCCCCCCTCCGGATAACTGCCTTTCAGGTCCCCGAGGACGCCCGCGACATACTCGACCCTGCTTGGGGTAGGCGTCTGGAGTTCTTCGAGCTTGGTCACGGGACCGGGCGGCGAGGACAACTTGGTGCGAAGCCTCGGGGAGGTACTTTGCGATGGCGAGCCCGAGGCCGCGGCTGGCGCCTGTGACGATGAAGACTTTGGAGGACATGGCGGGTTCCTTCGGTGCGGGCGAGAACGCGTGGTGTTCTGTTGGAGTGAACGATTGGGTCGCCGCGGTACACTGGCTGGCGCAAAGGCTTTTCTTGTGTACCGTAACTGGTGGGCGACGTCGTGGATGGGCGGAGCGCCGAGTTGACGTGCTGTGTGGTGGGGCATTCTCTTATCTTATCACCCCAGCCATCGAGGGGCATCGACGTCAACGCGATGCTGAGGTCATGGTCATGGAGATTCGAGGCGCATCTGTGACGTGGGAGCGGCTGTGGCAGGTTGGACAACAGATACACTGGTCATTCAACATGTACTTGGTCGAAAAAAAGGCCCAAGAAGAAGAAGAAGAAAGACGAAACAACTCGAGACAGCAACCGCACATTGGCATCTCCCAGCCATGAACACCACTGTCATTCTAGGGTCAGGCATTGTCGGCGTGTCGACGGCATACTATCTCTCCGAAACGCAACCACCATCGTCGATACATCTCGTGGAGCCGTCGCCCGACTTTTTTTCTTCCGCCTCTGGTTTCGCTGGCGGCTTCCTGGCTAAAGACTGGTTCGCATCTCGACTCGCCTCCTTGGGCGAGCTCAGCTTCAACGAACACAAAAGACTGGCTGCAGAGAACGATGGGAGACAGAACTGGGGATACGCAAAAACTGACAGCTTCAGTCACGCATCGGGGCCCCAAAGTCGCAGTGGCGATACTGACTTGGATTGGCTTGATACTGGCGAGAGCCGCGCTCAAGTCGCGCAAGCCGCCGGCCCCATGAACACGACGATCCCGGCCTGGCTGCGAAGGCGAGAAGGCGACAACGTACAATCCATTTCCGAGGACGGCACCACAGCGCAAGTGTAAGAGCCCTGCCCACCGCCCGCCCGCCCTCCTCTGATCCTCTTCCAGTGACCCTCTCCGCCTGTGCCACTTTCTCCTCGAAGCATGCCGG